GAGAGAGCAAGACATGATGGGGAAGGGAGGGGGCGCCCTGACGGAGAAAGGGGAGAAGAAAGCAGGAGAGGGGCAGAGTAAGAGGGCAAGAGAGAAACAAAGTGGGGGGTTGATCCTTTTAAGGAGCAGCTTAACCATGCCTGCCAGGTGTAGCTACCTGGTGGGTGACACATGATGACATCCTAGGTTGCTAGTAGCTCAGACGCAGACTGCCTAAATACTAACATTCCTTCTTTTTTCTATAATTAAAAAATGAGGAGCTTGGGCTGCTTCTCATGTAAGGCAAGTTAAAGTAAGTAAACTTAGGTTCATTAGAAGCAGCTCTTGGTTGCCATGCAAGGGGTGAGAGAAAGAAAGAAATAATAGCAACAAAATGCCCAGATTACATGGTCAAGAGGAGGAGGGGAAGAAGCCCCTGCCCTGAAAAGTTCAGAAGAGAGTAGAGAATTGCCAGCCGTGCCCAGCGTCAGGTAGGGACTGAGGAATGCCGAGAGAACCTAGAGCTGCTGTCCTGGGCCTGAAGTGCACCACTTTCTTTTAGGCTGATTTCAGAATCCAAACTTGAAGTCAGATGTGACTCTCCTGCTTCAGACGGCAGTTTCTTTCCCATGTACCCTCCACCTGGAAGGAGGGGGCCTCAAGGTGACCTCTGTGTGTCCTCTTGGTTCCTTCCAGGCTTCTCTAAGAAGTCTCTGTGTGGCTTGGCTCTTATCACTTCCCCTGCTTCAGTCATAGTCTCAGTATTTGTTATGTAAAGGAAGTAGAGAGTCCGGTGTTTCTTTTCAACATTCTTTGGGAGAACCTCCCAATGGAGCCCCAGAGAGAAAAGAATCTTAGTGAATCAGGAAAGCACTCTGAGTTAAGCAAGAGATTGGAGAACAGTTAGTTGCAGAAAGCACTTTGGCTCAAGTGCTGTGTGCTGAGTTGAGTCTAGGCCTTCCGTTAGAGACAGCTGCGAAGGGCCTTCCCTGACAATGCTAGGAACATGGGACTGAAGCAGAAAGGAATCACTAAGGTCTTTTAGCAGAAATAAGAGACAACTTTCTAACTTAGGAACATAAACATGGTCAGAATATGTTCGATGAACAGGGTTGGAAGGAAGTAGGGGCATAACAGGTCTAATGTGAGAGCACTAAATTGGCCATGGAAAAATACATCTCATTTTCCTCTCCTGCTATTTTCCATAATGTCATAAAAATTTATAACTACACAGCTTATGAAGACTGTTTGTAACTCTACGTGATCTTGGATTCAGCAGGGAGTTTGTGATTTTTAAAATAGCTTAACATGAGTTTGTCTTCATACATGTTCAAAAATAACTTGCAATAATGTTTGTTTGAACAAATCTGAAATTACATGTGAGAGTGTTAGAGAAAAAAAAAACTGCATTTTTTTCAAACAAAGTGCAATCAATCCCTCTAGGTTTTCCGTCATTAAAAAAATAATCTTAACAGTAAAGTGAATGGGCTTCACTGCTGGATTTCTGTATGTACTTATATAATTAATTCTTTGGCTATTTCTTTTTTCTTCTCTACACTCTCCTGACTCCCCTTCCTTATCCTAATATTTTCTCATCTACTTCCATCACCTTTTTTCCCTTCGTCCTGCTTCTCTTCCTTCTCTTTACTTACCTATAAGAAAGCTTGTGATGTTTGCATTTTTGTGTTCTATTTCACCCATTTTTCTGTAAATGACAAAATTTTATTCTTCTTTGTGGCTGGATGATACTGTGTTGTGTATATATAACATATTATCCATTCATCTGTTGACAGACGTGGTGTGATTTTCTTGTGGAATGTGAGCAATTTACCCTTGTTCATTCAAATGCTGATTTCTCTGTCCCACTATCTGATTTCAATCCGGACATTGCATTATAATGTTTATTCTAACCATCACCTGTCTCAAGTTTGTGTAAACATGCCACCATTTGTTCTCTGTATTTTCAATAGAACAACCAGCCAGTGGTTTGCAAACGAGAGTAGGGTGGGACATCCTGGTCCGGAGGGGAGGAGAAGGAAGCAAGTGGGAGGAGTTGGAGAGCAGAGATTGCCAGGGAGGATTTGGAACTGTGAGGAGAGATGAACTGGACCAAGATATGACTTAAAGCAAGTATAATGTGGGAAATCTGAATGGGAGAAAACTATGTGGGCTTGGCGGTTTAGAATGGAGTAACTATTGCCCAGCATTGTGCTCTAGGTAAATTAAATAAATCCTAGTCTCTGTGTGGTGATTCGGGTATACAGCTGGTTTAGGAATAACCCCTGTCTAACTAAAAGATACATCAATAATAAATATTGACAATAAAACAATGCAAGTTAGACTATGCAGCGCTATTACAAAAACAAACAGCAGCAACAACAACAAAAAACCCCACAGAACTCAGGTTGAACTCAACTCCCTTAAAACAAAAGGTGAAAGGGTTCTTAATGGGTAGTATATACTACTAGAAAAGTACTGGGAGGCAGAGTATACAGGGCGTTGGGCAGTAGAATGTGTTAGACAGTGAGTGAATTCTGAGTGTCTGTCTCTGTGACAAGGCCACTCGCATTTGGCAGTTGTCCTTGATCAAAGTTCGACTCCTGTCCTCTCATGTAGAATGAAAGAGGATGCTGTCTTTCCTGTGGATTACATTTCAGACAAGTGGCTTCCAGGCCTTTGAGAAAGACAATCCTTGCTAAAATGACTGATACTAAAGGGCAAGTTTCTGATTGCCAGTTTTTTTTTGTTTGTTTGTTTTTTTAAGTAAATACTCCATGGAAGGAAATGCCAAGATGGTGAAGGGTAATGTGTGGTCACTGTATCCACTACCACTGCTTATGTTATTGTTAATGTTGTGTTTAATTCACATTGTAGTTACTGTTGTGTTTAAGATGGTCTATCCAATAGAGAATTGGAAAAACCCATGTCATTTTCTTACCTAAGATTGGGAAATGTAAAGTGGAACATAGAAGAGGGAAGAGCCAGAGGTGTTGACCAGATGTCAGGAGAAGACCCACTGGTAGGTCTCCTGTGGTCAGGAAGGAGCTAATACCAAATGACCCACACCAACTTAACAGTTAATTCTGGGGTTCCTTTGGAACAAATAGCAACCTGTGATCTGCACTGACAACAGGTGAGAAATGAGGAAAGCAGCTGGGATTGTGAGTTTCTTTTTTGGAGTATAGCTTTTTCTTTTGGAATGACACAGACCAGCCCTCAAGTATGTACTTATGACCAACATTGCTTGTGGTCAGACTCCTACATATATGCAAAAATATAATGCATGTAGAAGAATTTCAATTCAGAACATAGCTGCACTTGCAAGAGATCACATCCAAAGACCTAGGTATATGGGACCTGGCTGGAATACAAACATGCCTTTAATCCAGGAGATAGAGGCAAGCAGATCTGAGTTTAAGGCCAGTCTGGTATAGAGCAAGTTTCAGTAAGGAAAAGCTTAGGTCGAGGGATAGTGGTACACACCTTTAATTCCAAACAATGAAGGTAAAGTTAGTTTGTAGGAGGAAACACCCATGTTTGAAAATGATGTCTGAGTGGCAGAAAAGGTGATGAATCAGACAAAATTTGACAGACTAGGATGTGCCCAACTCCCACGAAAAGAGAGAGGAAAGGGAAGCTACTTAAGGGGCAATGCGGTGGGGGGGGGGAGGCACTTTTACCACCACAGATAAACAGAGTCAGGTTGAAGAGAGGAGGCAGAGAGTCACAGAGAGAGGCTGAATGACAGAACAAGCTAGACACAGGTGAAGATAGAACGAGCCAGAAAATGAGAAGAAGCCAAAAGATTAGAGCAGACTGCTATAGTTAGTTTGGGGCCAAGTAGAGGAATTCAGGGGCCCATAGAGAAGCCAGATTGAGTAAGTCAGCTGGGAGAGGAGTTTGAGCGAGAACAGCTGAACCAGCCAACTATGAGCTCAGAAAGAACAAGAAAGGGTGAGCTCATTAAGCAGTAAGTCTTGAGGCTGCAAACATTCTAGGCCTAGAGTAGACTGTGCAGGAGCTAGAAGCTTCTAGGATGAGGCCTCGGTTAACAGACAGAAGCAAGCAGTAAGCCTCTGAGACAACAATTGTAACAGGCAAATAAAAGTTCTTTTTACAGATTCATACATAACGACATAGTGCTGCATTGCGTGAAGTACTTTTAGATAAATCGCAGGCGTTTTAGAAACTGAGTATTATGAGAAATTGATGACTAACATCTCAAGTTGCATTAGAAATCTGTCAGAAAGCTTGAGTTGAGGGTGGTTAGGAGCATTCTGCTGGGTGATAAAATAATCTGACAAAAGTAATTGAGGGGAGAAAAGACTTACTTTAGCTTGCAGGTCCAGGTTACATATAAGTCTGTCCAGCACTGTAGGAAAGTTACAGTCAGCACTTGAGACTCATGCTCAGGTCACCTACCTGATCACGAATTAGGCACGGGTGAGCATGCGCGTGCCTACACTCTTCTTGACACTTTCATAGTTCAGGGTCCATTGCCTATGGCTTCTCACCTCAATTAACAGGATCAAGATAATCTCCACAGCTATACCCATAGGCCAGTTTCATCTAGCAGAAGCCATGGGAATAGATATAAGCTTTACAATTCCTTGGGGTTCATGGTGTTTGCCTATCTTACTTCCCACCCCTCCCCACCAAGAGAGTAAGCACAAAGGGAAAAGAATGAATAATTCAGTCTTCTTAAAAAAGAGGGTGGTCTACAGTGTTGCCTGCTCCAGAGCCATTTGTGATAGCAAGATTGGTAAAAGGTATGTGTGATTTGTCAGCAAAGTACCTGAAGAGCAAAATGTTATTAGAGCAATTGAGGGGACTAAGATGCAGCAGGTTAAGGGTGCCTGGGGAGAAGGACCCAGACTTTCTCACATAGTGTGGATTACAACATCCAGGAGACCTGGAAGGAGATCAGTAGAATACCCTAAGATGAAATACTGGCATGTATGATATTGATGTGTTTCATTTCTTTCCAATTGTTTTTTGTTGTTGTTGTTTTAGTTGTCAGAATGAGTGACCCAACAGAGAAGAACAACTCCATTCAAGAACACATAGATCAGACATTTCCAGAGAGGAGCGGTCAGATTGGACAGAAGCAACTGGTATAGCACACAGATTTTATGATTCTATGTTGTGTGTTGAGTTTCTAACATGGGGTGTCTGAGATGTCTGTGGACATGACAGACGGTCAGGAGGGTGGGACCTCCCAAGAGAGAATTTTGTTCCCCAGCTGTTGGGATTGTGTGATGAATTTCCTCTTTGCTTCATGTTCCTCAGTTTTAGCCGCAGTGTTCTATAGAGCACTAAGTCTTGTCCTCACAATAGAACACTTGAAACGAATCTAGTCAAGTCTTCTATTTAGTTAACAAATTTGCAGTTTGTTCTTATTATGTCATGGTTCTAAATACTTTGTGTATATAGACTCACCCAAGTCTCACAAGATACTATTAGCCTTATTTTTTTAAAAAAAAATGAGCTGTTGAGGCTTAGACAAACAAGAATTTGTTCATTTTACACAATTTATGATGGGTAAAACCAAGACTCAAACAGCAGTTGGCTCATCTGCTGTGTTTGTTCTTTACTTCTTAATATGTAGCAGAACAGGAAGAGAGGGTACGAGGTTTTACACCGTTCATAGAAAATGTAAGGTGTAGAGATGTTGTAGGATAAGTTTGTAAAACAAACCAATATACTCCCATCAAGATGATGTTTATGGAAATGGTTCTCATATTTAGACAGACTACCTGGATTGCTATTAAACTAAGGTAAAAAAAAAAAAGCCTGTTACATTGAAAGTCTACCTTTTGTTTCTAGGAATTGCAATTCCAATGGAAACTAGCCTATGTACTTTCAGATTATATTTTCTTCTAAAATCCATCAGAAGAATATTTCTTTACCTATGATATGTGTGTTACATGTTTAGAAAATGTCCTCACACTGGCCTATAGCACACATACCTGTAACCTCAGCATTTGAGGTGCTGAAGCAGGAGAATTGCCAGAAGTTCAAAGTCAACGTGGACTACACAGTCGATTCTAGGCTGGCCTACTCTAGTTTGAGACCTGTCTCAATGAAACAAACAGTGATAACAGTAACAAAAAGTTACCTTTTCATTTGTGTGTTTATGTGTTTGTCTCTGTGTGTGTGTCTACACTGCATTGTATGTGCCTGCTGCCCGCAAAGGCCAGAGGAGGCTATTGGGACCCTTGGAATTGGAGTTATAGATGATTGTGAGCCACCATTTGGATGCTGGGACTAGCCCATCCTCTGTAAGAGCACCCAGGGCTTTTAACCACTGAGCTATCTGTCTGGTCCCAAGTCACCATGGTGGTTGTGTTATGCCTCATGGACCCCAAAGACCACTAAGGAGCTAATTCCAGTGCAAACGCAGTAGGGTCTTTATTACAAGCTCAGGCTTGGGCCCGTACCGTCAATAGCAGTTCTTGAGTGTAGAGCCCCGAGCACAGGGAGAGAGGGGTTTTCATTGGGGTTTGAGCAAGGACCAGGAATTTCCAGCTTAGCAGTTACATGATTGGATGATATTTAGCAAGGGCAAATTTGTTTCAAAGTGATTGGTTAACTAATATTGAATGAGCTATCTATAGACCTCAGGAATGTTATGCATTTTTCTGTGCCATGGATGTTCTACTACAAGGTCTAGTGGGCATGCCCAGCACAGATTCCCCACCCTGAGATAAGATACTTTGCAGTTCTTGTGGTTATCCTCAGGCTGTTTCTTGGGTGGAGGGATTTTTATGGTCTTGTTCCTTGAATTGGTGACCTATGGCCTAGTTCCTGGGACTAATGACTTTTGTGGGGAGGTTAGGTCTGGTACTCTCAGTTGATGTGTCTTGTTTCTTGTTTTCGACAATCAGGCCCCATTTTGATGCTAAACACAAAAGTCTCCCAAACAAAATTTTGAAAATATCCCCTAACATTCATGAAATTTGCAATATTTTTCTTGGTTAAATCTGACTTTGGTTGAGATGAACCTTCAGTGGCACTGTGTTGAAACCTGTGATGGTGTGTGCAGGGGATGGTTTTGAGACCCATTTCAGAGGATGGTGTATGCTGTGGCTTCATGTCCCTTTGACATCATATATGGACTTCTTCAGTGATGGCTGTGGGTTCTCTCTTGTTTCTTTCCCACAATTTTGTTACATGCATTTTATACTCCGTATTTAGAAAGAATGGCCCAGTTTGAGAATGTATCACCTTTTGAAACTCAATCAGATGAAACTCTTGATTTTTCCTTGTAAAACAAACACACTTCTATGGTATTTTGATAAGAGCCACAGACAGTACATTTTGAAAGACTGTAAAATGAATACAACTACTAAAACACTTTTTTATTTCATAGCAACAGATAGAACGGCAGTTAAAATGCTTGGCATTTCAAAATCCTGGACCACAGGTGGCAGATTTTAACCCTGAAACAAGGCAGCAGAAAAAGAAAGCAAGGATGTCGAAAATGAATGAATATTTTTCTGTGAAGTACAAGTAAGATCATGATATATTTGACTTATGGGGTTATAAATTGCATGTGTTCTCCTCGATTTTAAGCAAAGTATGTAGGCATGATGTTATTGTGTACTGTGTAAAGAGTCAGATGCTGATTTCTGGGCCCCCCATAGCTGGTTGCAATTCTTGTTCTTGTTCGGAGAATTGCCTGACTTTTGTTCCCCAATTATCCCCTATTGTGTCAATAAAGCAGCTTGACAGCTAATCGCTGAGCAGGGGAAAGAATAGGGTTAGACTTCCTGCCAGCCATGGGAAGAGAAGAGAGAGAAAGGAAGTGGGGATTCAGCCACAGGCAGAGGCCCTGGAGACGTGAGAAAAAAGCAGCTGGAGCAGAGAAAGTCATAAAATGCAAATATCTTGGGGATTTACACTGGAAGGAGGCTAGACTAGAGGGTTAAGAATAAAATAATAACTGTTCAGTTGTTGTGCCGTAGAGCTTGTTACATAAATATAGTAGTTCAGTCTCAATTATTTGGGTACTAGTTGGGTTAAGAGAGAAACTGTAATACATCTTTTTAAAACAACCACTGACAAAAGTAATTAAAGGTTACATTTCCGTTCTGATTTCAAAAATTTCTTCTATAGTACACTAAGACCCCATATGTCTGGATGTTAGCATCTTTAAGAAATAAGTAATATTGTTGAGAGCAAAGTGTGATAGCACATGCCTGGAATGCCAGTGCTTGGATGCAGAGCATAAAGATTCCAAGTTCACAGACAGCTTGGGGGACTTAGGGAAACTATGTATGTGTATGTGTTGGGGTGGGTGGGTGTCTACATCTCAAATTAAAGATCACCTTTTTAAAAAAGAGTTTTGTACTAAAACAACATTTTTTTAAGTAGAAAAGTTGATTAAATATAACAAAGAAGTATTAATAAAAGGAAAAATAATGTAACCATAGGAATGGATTCAGGATATTAAATGGGTACCATGCTATCACTAAATACAAGGATTGTTAATGCATTGGAATATGAAATACCTGGAGATGTAACTCAGTGATGGAGCACTTGCCTAGCAGGCATAAGGCCCTAGTTTCCAACTTCAGCATGACAAGGGGGAAGAAAACAAAACATAATGCAGGGAACTGGAAAGATGGCTCAGCAGTGTGGAGCACTTCCTGTTCTGTCTGAGCACCTGAGTTGGTACGGAGCACCCAACTTGGGTAGCTCCTAACTGCCTGCAAATGCAGCTCTAGGGAACCTGATGCAATTTTCTGGCTTCGGAGGGGCTCCATACATATGGCATTATACTTGCCATAAACATACATTTTTAAATGATTTATATGAAACGGAGTAAAAAGTGAGCATGTATATTTGAAAATTTGATGTGTAGGAAGGATGGTATTTATTGAAAATAGATTTTTTTTTTCAGCCAGGTGGTGGTAGTGGCACACGCCTTTAATTCCAGCACTTACGGGGCAGAGGCAGATGGAACTGTGGGTTCAAGGCCAATCTGGTTTACAGATTTCCAGGACATCTGGGGCAACACAAAGAAACCCTGTCTTGAAAAACAAACAAACCATCATAAATAGAAAGAAAAGGAAAAAAAGCACTGGGCAATGATGGCACATAGTTTTAATTACAGCACTAGAATCTATAAATATAGATTTTTTTTTCCTCATACAACATATCCTGATTATAATTTTCCCTCCCTCATTTTTATGCATAAAACATGGTATGTAGTTGTGCTAATCTTATATAATATCTTTTAAAATAAAATTTTAGTTAGTTCTCACTAAGGAAAAGTGACAGTATAATAAAATAATTGTATATTGTTTCACAGTCACACAAAAATGATTTATATGTATTATTTAAAAATATGTGACTATATGAGTGCAGGTACCTACAGCAGCCAGAGGCATCAGATCCCCCTGAAACTAGAGTTGCAGGCAGGCAGCTGTGAGCCGCCTAGGTGGATGGTGGGAACTGAACTCAAGTCCTGTGGGAGAAAATATACACTTTAAACTACTGAGCCATCTCTCCAGTCCCATATATGCATAATTTTAAAAGTCATCTATACACATTAACCGAACAACAAGGAAAAGGTTGACAAATTCAAATGCACTTTTAAAAGCCTCTTAATTAGAAGGCATTCCTGCTAACGTGTGGTAATGAGGCAGATCCTCACCCTTTCTTTTCTATGAAAGGGAGAGTTATGCTTGGGGACAAGGGGTGCAGAGGTACCCACTGTGACCACATGAGTGAAGTGCTGGCCTTTGAAGTTAAATGACACAAGCTGCGCTCACAGCTTACAAGCACATGTTATAAAGTATATAATGAAATTGGTTTTGTTTTGTAAGTGGCAAAGTTCTTGTAAAACTCTTTTTGCCCCTGGGAATGCTGTCAAGGGGGATAAAGACAGTGGGGGGGGGGCTCTAAAGGGGGCAGTGTTGCCCTCTGGCACTAAACACTTGGCCTTTACCGGGGCCTTACTATGCGCACTCCTGCCAACCATCTCCATCCACACTGGGGGTAAAATGGAAGTAAAGAAACAAAAGAAAAGGCACATGGAACCTCTGCCAATAGTTCCCCCTCCATACCTTAATGATATGGTATAGTAACTGATAGGCCTCATCTTGAGTCATTAAGAAATGTAGTAGTTTTTGCTAGAGTACTTTTAAGAGAGAAAGGGAGTATAAACTTAGCAGAAAAATATGGAGGACATGAAGTCCTTGTCACAGATGAGTACCAGGGAGACCAGGAATGTTAAACAGGCAGGGTTACCTCTTCAGTGGAAGGGATGGATACCTGTTTTCCACCCAGAAGGCTAGGAGTGGATGTGGTTAATAGCCTGCTGACCTTTGTACCATCTGTATGACAAAGACCATACCACATCCTCCCCCAGGTCCCTATGCATGTAGTCTATCCATAGAACCCATCTTTGTGGAAGAGGCAACCTGGACTTTGGAAAGAGTTTTGATGTAATTACTCCTTAAGCTTTATCATGCACGTGGTATTATATTCCACCAGAAAACTTCCAAATTGTGCTGTACTTAAATGTGCCTTAAATAAACTGCTTTGTATCAGACTCTAGAAGTCTGAACCAACTCTGGCTACTGAGCTGTGTTTGCAGAGGAGCCCCACCCTACCCCCATACGTTGAAAAATACCATCAATATGTTGATAATTTAAAGGTTAATATAGAATCTCTTTAGTAGCAAGCTTCAATTAGCTGTTCAGTGTGATGAGTGATTATATGCCCCAGAAACACTGGGCAATTAGGTTGTGCTCAGCTACAAGCCTGGCTGCACACACTGGCTGTCTGTCTCAGCTCATCACTGCCATTTCAGAGGGTAGACTGGTTCTGGTAATGTCTGGGATGCTGCTCCCTGAGAGTAAAAGGGCCATGCACACGGCAGGGCTGTGCAGTCCTTTCTTAACACAGTGAGGATAGCAGTGCTCGCTCATTCATGTCATACTTTTTCTTTGCAGAGTCACGAAAAAGTATGACGAAAGCGGCAGGCTCATCTGTAATGACGTGGACCTGTGTGACTGTCTAGAGAAGAACTGCCTGGGATGCTTCTACCCTTGTCCCAAGTGCAACTCCAACAAGTGTGGGCCCGAGTGCCGATGCAACCGGCGCTGGGTATATGACGACATTGTCACTGAATCTGGGGAGATCATCAGCACCCTGCCATTTAGTGTTCCTGAGTAGGAGAGATGCATCAATACTCTTGCACCTCTCTCTCTCTCTCATTTTTTCTTATTCTCTTTCTCCCCTCCCCGTGTGTGTGTGTGTGTGTGTGTGTGTGTGTGTGTGTGTGTGTGTGTGTGTGT